GGATGAGTAGGTAGGTGGATGGATGGATGAGTAGGTGGATGGATGGGGGTGGGTGGATGGGTAGGTGAGTGGACGGATGAGTAGGTGGATGAGTGGGTGAATGGGTGGGTGGATGGATGGGTGGGTGGGTGGATGGATGGATGGGTGGGTGGGTAGATGAATGAATGCACGAATGCATGCATGCACAGGCTTAGTTTGTGGTCAGCTGGTGAGTACAGGGTTACATCATACCATCTTTTTGCTTTGTGTATCAAAATTGCTTTGGATGCCCTGTGACCTTCTCCCTGCTCCAGCCCCCCACTTGCCTAGCTGTGCAAGGGCCATCATTGGCTGAAAGTGGTAGCGCCCACAGGGAAGGGTCTGGCCCAGCTCCCAGTCCCACTGCCTCCTGCTTATAGCAGGTGCACATGTTCTCTATTCTTTGTGCCTCCACTCTTGCTCTGATGGGCAGTGGGCGGGGAAGCAGGGGCTGGATCCCATTCAGAAATATAAGATCGGGGCCCTCCCTGGTGGCACAACGGGTTAAAGGGCAGTGCTGTGAAGCTAGCTGCAGCAGCTTCAGCATGAGTTTGATCCCCCACCTGGGATGTGACCCCCATGGTGCAGCAGACCTCTCCTGACCCGCCCGCTGCTCCCTTCAGCAGTGTCCTTCATGATCTGCCTGTTCCTCTCCCCACTCTGCCTCTGGTGAATCCTCTCACTGCCCCTGCACATCTGGCCTGTACCCCAGTTCTGTATGCATAAATAAATAAATCTTTAAAAAAAAATCAGGTAACACAATGTCTCCATTAAAAAAAAAGAGAGGAATATAAGTGCAGAGCAGGGAGACGGCCACCAGCTTCCCTGTGCCCTTAGGAATATGAGCAGGCCTCTAAAGTGGACCAGTTTGTGACACGTTTCCTGCTGCGGGAGACGGTGAGCCAGCTACAGGCCCTGCAGAGCTCGCTGGAGGGGGCATCAGATACTCTGGAGGCCCAGGCCCGGGGCGTGAGGTATGAATCCTGACTTCTTGATCCTGGGCTTTGAGCTTGGGCCTGTCTGTCCTGGGAAGCTTGTGGGCCGCACCCAGGCCTGACCGTGTTCCGGGGCTACGGGCCTGGCTCGTGGGTCTGGGGACAGGAGGCTCACGGGCCATTTCCCACAGGTCAGGTGAAGAGAGTGTGAAGGCGCAGCACAGGCCCCGAGGCAGCCGGCGGGCAGGGCGTAGGGCCCTGCGGAGTGTCAGTTGGTCGCCCAGCTGGTCTCCAGGCTCCTCTGACCCAGGTGGGCCAGGGTCTGGGCATGGGGGTAGGGGGGTGCTGAGGGGGGTCAGAGTGTGTTCCCGTGCCCGTTCCTCCCTGTCCTTCACTTTATCCTGAGGATCCCCCCAGCCCGAGGGGTCCCTGCTGATGCCCCCTTCTCTCTCCATGGATACCCCCCCACACACAGGGGGTTGCTCAGAGGCTGAGATGCAGTGGCGGCTCCAAGTCAATCGGCTCCAGGAGCTGATCGACCAGCTCGAGTGCAAGGTTAGCGGCCAGGGAGGGCTTCCTGGAGTCTGCCCACGTCAGGCTGCGCCAGGCCCCTGGCCCATGCTCTGTGTCCCTCACAGGCTCCCCGGCTGGAACCCTTGCGTGAAGAGGAGTTGACCCAGGAGCCCGACTCGGTGAGTTTGAGAAGGGGAGGCAGCTGGGTTTCGCCGGAGGCTGGGGCCAGCTGCCCTCTGCCTCGGCCTTCCCAGACTCAGCCAGTCCCCTCCCCCAGCCTGGCAGGCAGGGTTCTGCTCCGTGCTGTGTGATCCTGCGGAAATTGGAAATCCTGGCTTCCCTGCACACTGGAAAGCTGGTGCTTGCTGGAGGCACCTGTAGGAAGTGGCCCATAGTCAGGAGGGAGGGACAGTGGGTGGGATCACCTGGCGGGAGGGGAGTCAAGGGCGTTGGACCTGGTTGGGGCAGGAACTTCATCTTAAGGCAGATCAAGAATGGTAGATGGGAACAGGCTGCGCCAGCAATTGGACCCAGCTGCTTAATGGGCCTGATCTAGTCTCGAGGTGACAGTGACTCCAGGAAACAACTGAACGACGCTAAGGTTTACAGCCTCAACACGCGGCTTTCTGGAGAAAGCTTGATGTCAAGGAGTCGTGCTGAAGGCTGGGTAAAAGTTGTAAACTTCTCTCTGAGAGGGTCTATTCTCAGAAGACCTAATTTCTTTGTCTCTCTTTAAGGAAGAAGCCAGAAGTTAATTTGCGAACAGCTCCCTTATTGATCTCTCCTCTCTCCTCCCAACTGCCCTGGCTTAGCTAAGCGTTAGTGGTCATGCAGGCCCTCTCATGCATGCAGGAGGTGTGCCTGTTATTAGACTATTTTTGGCTTTTTCTCTTGTGTTAGTGCACAACCAAGAGGTACCCAGAGACCCCAAATTATTAAGGAGGCCAACCTTCCCGACACATAAAGGCTAAGGAAACACTTTTAGTGAGAAGGAGTTTTTGTGTGTGAAAGATTTATTTACACATTCAAGAACTGGGGTACAGCCCAGAGGTGCAGAGTTGAGAGGATTCACTAGAGACAGAGTGGGAAACAGAACAGGCAGATCTACTGAAATATACTGCTGAGGCGAGCAGCAGGTGAGACAGGAAAGGTCTGTTGCACCATGTGGGTCACCTCTGGGGCTGGGATTGAACTTGCACTGAAGCGGCTGTGGCCAGCTTACAGTGCTGCATCCTAAACTGTTGTGCCACCAGGGAGGGCCGGGTGCTTCCCTTTCGATAACCAGCTTACTCTTCCTTCCTAGCTGCTTGCTGTTAGGGTGTTTGGTTCATGGTGTGATGGGGCTTGTAATCCTAAGTGCCTGAGATCTCTTCAGTGTGGAGATGGGCTGGAGTGTGTAAAAATGCCAGGAGGTTGGGGAGAATAGTCCTCTAATGCTGGGGTTGTCCTGGCGGCCACAGCCAGTTCCTCACTCTGTGCCCAGCCCTTTCCCCGCTAACCAAGTGATCTCTCGTCAGCACATCCTCGTGGCCCAGAGGCAGGTGCAAGTGGCAGAGGAAGCCTTGCCGGACTTCCACCGTGCCCTGTGCTGCTACGTGGACTTCACAGGAGCCCAGAGCCATTGCCTTCAGTGAGTGCCCAGCCGGCTGGTGGGCTGGCCAGGGTTGGGTGGTAAGCAGGGAGGAGTGCAGGGCCTGGGTGCCCTGGCCACCTCTGGCTGGGGGGGGGGGCAGTGGTAGTTGCAGCCCAAGTCTGGCCTGGCCATCTCTTTGGCTCCACAGTGTGTCTGCCCGGAAGAGACTAGACAGTGCCTCCTTTACCCTGTATGAGTTCTGGAAAGATGAGGCCTCCTGGAGAAGGTATGAATGATAGTCTAAAGTAAATATATTAAAAGTCCTAGGTTCTTCATATCATCTTCTGTACACTGGCTGTGTGACCTCAGGAGAGTTACCTAACCCCTCTGCGCCCAGAGGACTTTCCGAGCTGGAAATGAGGATAGTTCTAGTCTGGTATAAGCTAAATGAGATTATGCGTGAAGGACTGAACACAATGGCAGATCTTCATGATATGCACTGTTACCACTGTGCCACATGCTGTGCCAAGCACCTGGTGTTACTTCATGTCATCCTTGCCTTAGCCTAGTGAAGTAGAAACTGGGTATCACCCCCATTTCACAGAGGAGAAAACTGAGGCTCAGAGTCCAGGTGAGGAAGGACTGGAATCTGAACCCGGGGGGCACCAAGGGATGGGAATGGGGAGCTCTCACCAACATGGCCTTGATCTTTTTGGGGCTAGTTCCCACCTCAGGCCACTCTGTGGCTCTCCACAGGCACCAGCAGTCCGCGTGCAGTAAAGCCTTCCAGCGCATTCTCATCGACCACCTGCAGGCTCCAGACACCCTCACCACTGTGTTCTTCCCAGGTGTGCTGCAGCTCCCAACCCTCTCCACAGGTTGGGGACCTGGGGAGGGACAGTGGGTTCCTTAAGGCCTCTGACCTTCAGCCTCTGACCTACAGCCTCCTGGTGGATTATGAACAAAAACCGAACTTGACCTGCGTAAGACAAGAACTCGGGGACCCTGCCTGCCTCCTGGAACTTCTGGGCTGGTTGACTCGGCACCAAGACCGGATGCTGCCTCTTAGACCTGGGGCCTGGCGCTCAGAGACCTCCACACCCAGCTGGAGGCGTCTCAGCCCATGGGTCAGGGACTGGCTGCTTGCTTTCCATTTCCAACTAGTGCATTTTGTTGTGTGTAGCTTTGGCCTCTGCTTGGCTCAGCAGGCCTGGATTCTGGTCCCCACGTGCCCCTGCTGTGTGGGCCCATCCCTTCCCAGTCTGGGTGGGGCCCAGGCCCTCCGGCTGCCCAGTGAGCACCCTGCTTTCTTTTTGCTGTCTCGGTGCCAGGCTTCTGCTCTTCTTTAGCCAACAGCAGAATGACGGCTGATGCTCAGGGACACCCTCATCTGAACTCTGACTTCTGGGACTGGACTGGGTCATTCTGTGGTGTGGGGTAAGGACCATGTCCCTGTTACGCACCTGGGCCAGCAGGCTTGACTGACTCTGCTAGACATTTCTAACACCCGTCCTCTGGAGGCTCCTAGGTCGGTTTGCATGTCATTTGCATATCATTTGCATGCCTACCCATACTCAGGGCATGTGGAAACCCCAAGGTGACCTTGCCAAGTAGCAATAATTTGGGCCTAGAGTCACCTGCTGCCCCCAGATACCTCTGAACCCAGCCCAGAGGCAATAAAGGCAGTGCTCGCCTTTGGCATTGTGTCCTCTCTCCCTTAGCAAGAAGACCAGGTTGGGGGGACAGTCTGCATTTCAGCCAGAGAGGACCTTTCTTCAGAAATCAGGTGATGCCTGTCTTGAGTTCCCAGGCTTGCAGATAGTGGGCATTTACTCCAGGCTCCCTCAAGTCAAGGCTCTTACCCGACAAATTCTTGTTCTCTCTTCTACTTTCAACTCTCCAACTACTGGCGGGGACTCCAGCTGGTAGCTCTCACTTCACCTCCCCATCTCACTGACCTGGGGGTATGCAACTGGGGTGAACCCAGTATCCCAAAGAGTTCTGAGGAGGCCCACCTGCAGATGGAATGACCCTCTCACCTGGTTTGTCAGGACCTGCCAATACCCCTGCCTCCTGACCTGGAGCCACCAGTTTCAGGAGCACAATGGGGGGTCCGCTGTGGGAGAAGTGAAGGTGGGGGTGTTATGGAGATGACTGACAGCTGTCAGGGCTGAAGGGGAAGCCCATGGCCCTGTAAGAGGGCAGGATGGCCTTGGACTGCTCTGGGGGTAGGGCAGTCAGGCGTTTTTCAGAGAGGAAAGGGCACAGAGTATTCAGGCCCTGAGGGGAGGAGCCCTGGTCTCTGAAGTTAGGGGGGGCTGGGCTAAAGTGCAGGGTGGGGGGCAAGGAGCAGTGCATGCCAGGAGCCCACTCCACCTCACTTCCCAGACTGGTAGATGTTTCCAGAAGGTGCTGCAGCACTTGAGCTCAGTCTGGGTGGCTTGAGCGAGTCAGTGCCTGTCCTGAGGGAGAAGCAGCCTCCCAGGGAGGTCCTCCAGATTTCTGATTATGTTCTGATTGCTTCTACCTGCGTCCCCCACTAAAACAGTGGCAATGGCAAACCTTCAGGGATAAAACTCTTCTCATCGTCCTCTTGGACAACGATGCTGAAACCCCCAAGCAGCGGGCACTTAAGTGAGCACCTCCTCAGATGCTGCCCTGCCTGCCCCGCCCGCTGTTGTCTGCAGGCTGAAGGCCTGAAGGCCGGTGGGGTAGGGAGGAGAGTGGTTGGTTCTGCAGTCGGGAGGGCTGGGGGAGGTACTGGTTTTAGCTGTGAAGAGATTTCCAGGCCTATGTGAGGGGAGAGTGTTGCAGGCAGAGGGAGCAGAAGGTGGCGCCACAGTGTAAGAGGAGGGAAGGTGAGGTGGAGGACAATGGAGGTCTCCAGGGCAGGTATTGGGGAGCTTGGCTGCCAGGTGGGTGGCTGGGGGCTGGACTGCAGGCAGGAGGCTGGAGTTAAGCTACCGGGTGAAGAAGCTGCTGAGCTGGGGCTCGGGCTGGAGGAGGCGCTCAGGACTGTGTTTACCACCTTCACTTCCCCACAGTCCCTGCAGGCCCAGGTCTTGGCCTCTACCATCTCGGGCTGGAGAACTGGCAGCTTCCTAAGGGGACCTCCCAGCTCCTCTTCACCTCCCGACCCACTCCCCATAAAGCAGAAGGAGGAGCCTGTACAGTGTCGCTGTGGTGATCTCCTCCCTCTGGCTGCAGCCCTGGGGTGGTGCCCCACTGCCTTCATCGCCAAATCCAATCCAGCCCAATTTGATTCAGCATTGAAGCTCCGAGGAGGCGCCTTGACAAAGCAGGCGCAGCCTCTTTTCCCCATAACTGCGGCTGAGCTGGGCTATTCCCCACGTCAACCTCAGCCCCCACCCTCCTGGCCAGCGTTCTTCACACAGCCCTCTGATACAGAAACGCCTCTTTAGCCTTTAGTGGGTCAAAGCCGCAGGTCTGGGTCACCTTTCCCAATCCTCGTCCTCAGTGCCCTACTCGCCATGGCTTTTCAGCTCATGGGGCACCTGTGTTGTGGCAGCTGCTGGGATGGTGAAATGTACCCCCAAGGGCAGGCAGAACCCTGACTCTGGGAGCGCTCCTGGCTTCTTCCACCAGCTGCCACCCTCCTACCTTTTCACCCACACCCTGCACCTGCCTCCTGTCTTCCTCTCACCTGCTCCAGTGACTCCCCAGTGCACATTCAAACCTGTCATGGGGACTGGCCCTGTGCCAGGCCAGGTGCTGGAAAGACAGGAGCCGTCTAGGCCTGAGAGAGACACCCACACCCAGCCCCTAGCAGCCGCTGGCGTGTCTAAACAAAAGGACAGTGCATTAGATGGGCCTTCAAGTTATTCTCAAAACAAACCTTACTTGGGGCCGCCCTGATGCTGCAGGTGTTAACTCTCAGTGCTATCAAGCTATCAGCAGTCACTGCGGCACGAGTTTGATCCCAGCCAGGGAGCCTACCCACATGGTATGGCAGGCCTCTCCTGACCTGCCTGCGTCTCACCCCTCACACCTCTGGCCTAGACCCCAGTTCTTATGTGCATAAAATCTTAAAAAAAAACAAAAAACCACAAAAATCCCAAAACATTACTTGAATGCAGTCCAGGGATCTAGGCTGGGTGCTTGTACCCAGGAAAGCATGTGGGTGGGAGAGAAACAGGCTGTGATGGCGGCCTAGTTTCCAGGATGCTAGGGCCTGGGTCAAGGACACCCACAACCACAGTGTTCCTTGCCGCTCTTAACTGTAGGCATCATCAGCTCAGCATCACATGGCCCCATCTCCTCCCAGTGCCCACAGCTATATGTTTCAAGCATGAATGTGCAAGGATCTCTGGGATACTCCAGTAGTGAAACAGCGCAGGGCTGAGGTTGCAACAAAGGAAAGAGTGAAGCTGAGTCCTATGGCCTCAGCTTGATAGATGGGGCAGCAAGGAAGACCCCTGGGGGCACGCGGCAAGGGAGAGGGTGGAGGGTGGATAGGGCTGGTGGGCTGAATCGTGTCTGGAACTATTCAAGAGGCATCCAGAGGGCATTTGCTGAAATTGTGGGGCAAAAAGGCAGCCCTAGAAATTGGTGCCAAGGGGAACGCAAGCGTCAGCGAGTTTCACATTCTGGATAGGGATCTGGGTTGGGGTGGGGGGCAGAGGCAAGTCTGGCTCTACCCACAAGAGGGCGCCCGGCACCAGGTAAAGGGGGTCCCCAGAACGGAATGGGAGGCTAATTTATGCGTGGTTCTCTAAGTCCTTTTGCCTGAGGGGGGCTGACAGGGCGAACACTTAACCTATGGCCCTAAAATACCAGCTGTCAGAAACACGCACTGAAGAGCAACACACATTTAGATCCAAGCATGTCTGCTCATTTTGAGATCACCTGTTCATACTGAGCAGCAAGCTTGCTGGTAAAATCTGAGAGCTCCACCATCTCTTACCTCTCATCTTACCTTCCACAATGTATTTTTCATCTCTGTCTCTATAACCAGGAACCATGTGGTGATGCTTCACTGATTTCCAGATTCACCTTATCTGCTGTTCAATAGTGCACTGAAAATTTATCTCAAGGCTGTGGTTTCTAGCATTCTATATGCCGCATTACTGTTTGCTTACATTCCCCAGCAGCATTCTTAGAAGTTGCATAGTTCTTTTGTACTCTGCATGGATAACACTTCAGGAGTTTCCAGGGGCCCTAAATCCGGTTGACTCTTGCGCAGTGTCTCATTTCCTTGGATGCTTGGCTTTTTTTTAACCATATATAATTGGTTGATATGTGTAGTGTCGTCTGCCACGCCATGTGGGTCATCTCTCTGGCCGAGGATAGAACTCGTTCCTGGCCCCTGGGGAGTTCTTACACCTCATCTGTAACCTCGGCAATGCAGTTAAAAGGAATTTTGTTGGAGTTTACCCAGTGTCTGGGTGTTTTATGGCTATGGAAGTTTTTACTCTCTCATTTCTATAGCAAATTTAGCATAGCATTTTATTATATTATCATCTTAGTCCCTGGGAAATTCTTTCCCAGAGCTAAAACAGATTGGTGACTTGTCGACTAAATGTGCTTTTACGCTGGGCTGACAGTCAGGAGGCGAGGTCCTATAATTGTTCTAGGTAGTGGATTGCAGCTGTGGGCAGCTGCTGGGATTGGCAGTTGGCACCATCTGCATGAAAGATCATTTAGCTAAAGCCCCACCTGGCCTTCTGGGGCCAAGGTTACAGTCTGCCCTTCTAGGGTACAGATCTCGTAACCAAACCCTCCCTCTGCATTTCAGGAGCCTGGAAAGCTGGTCGTGTCACCAAGCCTCAGGCAAGGCAGCTCAAGAGGTCGTCTAGGGTAGAGGTCAGAGATGGGTATTCAGGCAACAGGAGTGAGGCCTCAGGTGACTGACTCATAAACAACTGCCAGCCAGGGACTCTGCATACACACTGCAAGGCTGTGGCACTCCAGGGGCTGTAGGAGGCACCAAGAGCTGGTGGGCTTTCAGGAAAAGCAATTTGAATACATGCATCAAGAATCAATAGATACCTAGTTCCAGAAATCCCATTTTGGAAAACTATCAAAAATCATCAGGTAAAGGAAGATGCTAAGTAGGTTAAACTTAAAAGCATTCCAACTGCCCAACAGGTTTGTTACGAAAATTAGGTCCCTGGGCCTCCCTCGTGGCCTAGGGGTTAAGTCTCAGTGCTATCACCTCTACTGCCTGTACTGCCTGTGTTCGATCCCCGCCAGGGAGCTGACCCACATAGTGCAGCAGACCTCTCCTGTCTTGCCCGCTGCTCCCCTCAGCAGTGTAATCAGACATCTGTCTCATCTGCCTCATTTCCTGCTCTGTCTGGTGAATCCTCTCCCTTCCCCTCTCTGTACCTCTGGCCTACAACCCCAGTTCTACCTTAAAAAAGAAAATTAGGTCCTTGATTAAACCATACGAATATTAAGCAAATAAATGTGAAGGCAATAGTGAGCTTATGATTTAACACCAGTGTAAAAAGAGCATAAATTCACAAGTCTAGATGATAAATATTTATGAGTTATTAGAAAAGAATACCTACCTGCCCACTACCCCATTTGTCAAACTTTCTGTGGTGGCATTTTCCTTATGAAAACATTGCTTAATGGTGAAGCACATTAAGGAGCTTGGGAGGGTTTGCCCAGGTGCCTTTGGCACTTGATGGCAGGCCCTTGGTTGGGCAGGCCAAGTGCTGGGTGCAAGCTCAGGCCTGGGTGCAAGCTCAGCTCTTGGCTTCCCAGAGGTCCAGCAGTTGGGACATTCCCTTAGCGGTGCCTCCTGCTTCACCCCTCTCCTCCACACTCTTCAGGACGCAGCAAGAACTGACTAGGAGTGGAGCCTCCTCCCTGCCGTCCCCCAGCCCCAGAAGGGGAGGGGTCGCAGAAGCCTCACAGCACCTGCTGCTCCACCTCCGCCCAGTCCCATTCCAGCCTGAGTCAGAAAAGGAATATAGCCTTTTTATTGACTACTTGAAGTAAAACAAACTAAATACATATTTAACAGTTTTGGTTCATTTATACAGTACATTAAATAAGTTATGCACAGAGTTAAGTAACAAAAGTTGCTATCGGGTAAACTGACAAGACAGAGAAACCAGTCGACGCATCCTGTGGGTGACTTCACATTCGTCACCCCCTAAAACCTCGCCTGGAGGCTGAGCTTTTGACTTATTTACATTATTGGATGGAGCTTTTGTGACCTCATCAGGAACCTGGGAAGCCAGCAAAGTGGACTGAAGGCCCCTCAGTTAAACAGCACTTCCAACCCTTCACCAACTGCTTATGGCTGCTTCTCTCTGCCAATTAATGCAAGGCAGGAGCAGGCTTCTCCGCCAGCCATGCACGCCCTATTTGGTTTAAACGTCAATGACTGCACCAGGCAGCCATAGGCCTGACCAGATCGGTCTGCAGAGGAAGCTCCATTTCGGACAGCAGAGGGGAGACAGGACACAAGGCCCACCCTCAGCCTAACCTCCTGGTTCCCCGCCTGCACTGTCATCTTTGGGAATGAGCGTGTCCATGCACCGTCCATGCACTAGGCAGAGGAAGGCAGTCAACATTTTGGTTTCTTCAGAACTACACTCAAGTGTTGGAAGTTTGTCCACTCCTCCCCCCACCCCACCAGGCAGGATTCCTGAAAGGGCCCTCTGGCTCTTGTTACATTTGGTTCAAACATGCCACCGCTCAGTTCTATGCCAACAGCCAAAGCAAACAAAAAGCTAAGAAAATTGGTTTGGTCTACTGACCCAAGGGCCTGGGGAGCAGGTCTGAGGAAATCCTCCAAGATGAGTTTGGTTTTAACTGAGTTATTCAATCCGTACTCCCATCTCAGCTTCCAGGACAAACGGTCACCTAGGCATTATTTCTGCTTTCATTCCAGACTTTACTACCATACAAATCTAGGTGTGTTGCTGAACCTTCAAACCCACTTGCTGAGTGGTTTTGTAGCACTACTTAGAATGTCTACAACCTTGTGCAAGCAGTGACAGTGTGGGGAGCAATTTGCTTTGAGGCAGGCTGTCCCAGGACAAGGGTAACCTTGTCCAGAAGCTGAAGATTCTCACGTTTATACCAAGAAGTTGATACCAAGAAGTGATGGGCTCCTGGTAGACCACCTGCAGAGGGCAGCAGCCAGTGCTGGGCACAGCCCCTCAACGGAGCTACTGTTTCCAGACTGACCTGGCTTAGAGACAGGGCCTCAGCACTGCCCAGGAAATGATCCATCCATTCTGACCTCCTGAGCAGGTCTTACCGACCCTCCCCTGGAGGGCAGGACCTCCACAGAGGACTCTCCCTCAGGCAGGGGGCCACTTAGTCCTGAGTGCAAGGAATTAATTCACTTCTTCCTGAGCCAGTGTTCACCACCCAACGGAGTCAGGCAGGCACCAGGCAGTGGGTCACTCAAGACTTCGAGGTCCTGCCCTCCACTGGCCTGCACGACATTAGGAGATGACTTCCATTTGGGCACTTTTGGTTCCTCTGGTTCCTGAAGTTATTCCTCGCTGGGCAGAGGATGAGGCCCCCTCACTGTCTGCAGGCGATGGTAGCAGAGACCCCACCTGCCAGGTGTGCTCTGGTGGCGCAGCCCATGCCACGTGGGCTTCTTGGGTTCTCGGACAATGAAGTGCCCGTGACCACACAGAATGCCTTCAGCACTATCACCCCAAGCCTCACTGTTTTTTAGGTCCCTCCACCCCATATTACCTATAAAGGTGGTCCTTTAGCAGCCTGATTAAGATACTTTAAATAGATTTTACTTAAACTAGGAAAGGTGGGGAACCTGAACTTGTATCTCCAACCTGATAGCTGGGGTTGTCAGCAGCTGACGGAGACTAAGTGGAGAACCTGGACTCACGCTGCACCTCCAGTCATGACCCTGCCCTAGATGTTGCCCCTCGCCCTCCCAATCAGAGCGGAGAATTTGCAGGACAGAGCTGGAGGAGGGACTTACATGGAAGAAACTGACAGGGAGCCACGATCCATATATTTTGTGGGTTCTGACTATTCCAACTAGGAAAAACCTGAGCTACTCTGGCTAGTCTTATGGCCACTACAAAGATTTAAAAACCTTGACTAGGTGTTCATTCAACTTGCTGATCAAGACTGAGTCAAGCACAACCAAGACCCTCTTCTAAACGACTTAAAGGTTCTGTGACAGCCCCATGGAATACCCTGTATCTTCTCTTCCCCGGCTAGACCACACAAGACTTATTGGGAGCTTGAACTTAAGCACAAAGGAGGCAGGACCTACAGAGAAAGCTTTCAGCTGGCTTCTCCAAGGGCGCCAAGGAGAGGCCTTTAACGGGTGAGACTACCAAGGGCACTGAGGGTGCCAGGGCCTGTCCTGGGCTACACAGGGCACGCGCAAACGGGTTACACGCTCCTTCACACACTGCGCATCTCATCATCACCGCAGTGTCCACCCCGGAGTGTGCCTGTCAGCATGCTGGTCAGACTTCAGGGAGGATTTCCACTGTGTTCAGGACCCTCCCTCACCCTGCTTCTCCCTCAGGACGCTGTGAAACAATCATTAGTCAGGAAATAGCACCTTTTGTCTAGGCACAGCGCCTCTGGTCAGCGTGGTGGATCAAGGTGTTTGAGCAGGATGTCGAGGCAGGACCCGCCAGTCCATGATTCGGTCCACCTGTTCAAATATGTTGGGCAACAGGCCAAGATTCAGTCCACCTGTTTAAACAGGACATTGGGAAACTCTTATCTTATTGGCTCAAAATTTCACTTACCTAGGCTGGGATATCCCACATCTCACAGAAACGTACGCAGGCACGCCCTGTCTGGTGTGCGGAGTTGATCCTGTTAAAGTAGGGACACCCCACCGGTGGCTGCAGTTTAAGGAATTCCACAATAGAGGAACATGACGCTGTTTTTTTTTTTTTTTAATCTCTGGGTGCCCCTTACTTTATGCAATGGAAATCCAGGTATTTGAAAGATGCCTTGTATTGAGTTTCTTTGTAACACAGAAAATCCTTGGATAAGGTAAAGTAAGGACTTAATTCTTAAAGTAAAATAGACCTATATGCAAGGACAATGCTACCTCTGCTGACACCTCTCCCTTACAGGACCAAGCACCCTGGTCAGTGCATAGAAGGTGGTCAATGGAAGTGGGGCCAACCACTCACTCCACTGATTCCTTGGGGAGAGAAGGTGCCGGAGGCTTGGAGGTAAAGAGAGGAGGGTCAGGGTCCTTGGGCTCTCAACGGGTGTTGGCAGCACTGA